CTAGGCCTGCCTGAGCCAGAGTTCTTCCATGTTTAAACTCTGTTCTTCCATGTTTAACTCTAATCGACCTTAACAACCAAGGACAGGAATTGGAATGTGTAAATAGCCAGTTAGCAATTACGACCTTGCTCATTTCAGGTACCAAACAATAATGATGAGGTTTGCATGTTTCTAGCTGGGGAAGGGGTAATAAACTAAGGGTAAACAGGACCAAATAACTGTTTAGGGAGAAGTTACTAACAAGCTAGATTTATAGCCCTAGAATGATTTAGTTGCTTAAATGTATAAACATGCCTTCGGTAGAGAGGGGAGGGGGAGTGGGGGGGTGGTAGAGAGGGGGAGAGAGTGGGGGCTTAGTTGTAAAATGTATAAAGAAGAGAGAAACTGTTTTTGCTGGTGTGCTCGATTTGAGACTTGCCTGGCTCCTTGCACCACTTTGAGATCTCAAATAAACTTTGATTGTTTCTCCACCCCGCTATGTTTATTGGCGTGAAGCACTCCGGGAACGAACCCCACTGTTGCTGTCCTCGGGCCCCTGTGCCGGCAACAGGGCCATTTCCTTTCCTGACTGTGTGTGGGGCTGGCGACAGGAGTTGCGGCCGGAGCCTTGCAGAGTACACAACACCACTGCAAGCTTCCCCTCGTCTGCCTGCACCCACTGGGTCTTGGGGGCATCAACCCTAGGAGGGAGATTGATGGGTCTTGATGGCCCAGCTGCTCCTTGGTCTCTGTGCTGAGACTGCCAACAAGGGCAGGTCATGGAGGCCGTGGGGGTGGTTTCTGTGATGTGGAGACCTGTCCACCCTCAGCTCCTTTCACACAGGCTGTCAAACAGCTTCCACATAACAGCTTGCACTACGACCTGCTTGGGCTGCAGAGAACCAGAGACCAAGAGCTAAAATGCTCCAGATTACCTTAAAAATCCCTCCCATCCGTCCAGAAAAGTGTCTGCATTCCCCTTATCCCAGGTGCCCTGCATTAGTAACGAGGCAGTGTGAATAAAAGAAGGGGATTTGTGACAGTTTGGGCCATTTCTCCGGCTCAGTAAATATTCAGAAGAGTAAGTGCTTCAAAGCCAGCTGATCTTGTATGATAACTCAGGGGTGTGTGAAGTATATTTTTGCTGTTGGAACAAGTTCTTCTGGTGACTTGGTTATGAAGCGAATGTTTCTTAACAGTGGAGTTTTCCTTTGTTACCAGCATATGAAGTAATGTGTGGATCTCGCTCTCACTTTCTTTAATACGCAGAAGTTCTGCCTCTGAACAACATCAAGAAAGAGATGCAACATGAGGACCACGTGGAGAAGGCAGAAGCCCAGGAGATGCTCCCAGAAAAGGAGAATATTTTCCAGTGTCCTGACAGAAGAAGGAATTGCGCAAACCAGTGTAAAGTGACAGTGAATCAGAAGACGCCTGTGGGAGCCAGGCTGGTGGAGGAGGGCACTGGGGACTGAGGTGTCTATAAGGTCACAGAGGGCACTGGGAAGGGGACAAGAGAATGGTCCCCCGCCGGGCCAGGGGAGAGCTGCCAGGATGAGGTCGCTCAGAGGTCCAACCGCAGGATGCACCCAGCCGAGGGACACTTCGTATGCAGAGAGTGTGGCAAGCGGTTTAGCTGGTGGTTGTCCCTCAACATCCCCAGACGGACCCACAGCGGCGAGAAGCCGTACAAATGCAGCAGGTGCGGGAAGAGCTTCTGCCAGAAGCCCAACCTGACATGGCACCAGCAGAACCACACGGGGAAGTGGCCCCACCGGTGCGGGGAGTGCGGGAAGGGCGTCGCCCAGAAGCAGCACCTCCTGAAACACCAGAGGATCCACGAAGGGGACAGAGGCCACCGGAGCACGCAGGCTGTGAAGACAAGAGCTCCTGTAGGCTGGGGGGAGCTGAGCAAGGGCATAGGAGAGATTGCAATGGGAGCACATTTGTCTAACACTAGTGAGCTGAACTCTGCCTCCTGCCACACCCGGGCACCCCCCATGAAATCAGTCTGTGACTCCTGAGACTTTGCACGTAGGACACCATAGATGGGGGGCCTGCATTTCTGGTGCACCCTGCAGGTCAGTGGGAGTTTGGGCGTGCAAGGATTGCCAGGCTGGACATTCCACAGGTCGTACCGCACGGGGAAGGAGGCACTGCTGTCACGCCTTCCCTTGTTCACTACTTGGTAGGGACACATGATATACACTACACCATATGGGACACATGGTGTACGAGACGCTCTGGAGCTGCAGGCCACAGTGGTTAGATCACCTCCCCCATCATCTGAGCTGGGCTGTCGCATACGGTTTGCACAAAAGGACCAAGCGGTGACCCGGCAGTCGTATTTCTCAGCTCAGTCACCTCGCCCTCACCTGCCCCTCCAAAACCATGTAATGCCGAAGGCTTGAAGATGTCCAGCAGACGGGATTGTGCCTTATCCACCACATCCTGAGCCTCTGCCTTTGGTTTCCAGGCTCGCCCCGGCCGAGTGACTTCCCCGGTAAATAAGTCTGTGGTTGTTCTTTATACTCCTTAGTACGGACGCTGCCTCAAGACGCTGCTGAGGGGGCCAAAGGCTTGAGAGTAACGGTAGCCAAACCCCATGAATAAAACCGTCAGACTGTCTTCCCTCGCACCCGCTGGCTTTAGGACAGAACCGTGCCTCTGTTCAGAGCATTAAAGTGAAACTGAGCTAACGGTAGCAGCCCCACGCGCTAAGCCAGCGGTAAGGCCTGACATGGCTGCTTCTGGGGCTTGGTCTTGTGCTGTTAGACCATATCTGGGGGTCACTGACACCTCGTGTGCCTGTCTCACACCTACTTCATTGTTCATCATTTGTACTGTGATAGTAACTAGAGACAGGGCCTCCTTGTGCTGGGCCCTGGCCAGACGTAGCAAACCGGTAGGTCCTGCCCTGAAGAGCTTACATCTAAGGCCTGGTCTGCACAAGGACATGAGGCCAGTGTAACTGCGTCGCTCAGGGGGGTGAAAATCCACCCCCTGTACAGTGCATTTAAACGGAGCTCACCCCCAGTGCAGACGGTGCGCGAGTTCTCCCATGGCCCGAGCTGCCGCCTGTCAGGCAGAGAACCCCGCCCAGCGGCAGAGCTGGCGTCTCTCCACCGAGACGGGGCAGCTGAACCGCGGCAGTGTTGCGAGGGTGGCCCTGCCCCTAGGAAGTGCCGCATAGGGAGCGAGGCCGAGGGAATTAAGTCACTGGTGGCCAGAGGTTCAGAGCCAGACACCAAGGGGCGGCCGATCACCCAGGACTCTTAACGACGTGTGTTTGCTCGTAATGTTATTTTAACAGATTCTGGAGAGTTTAATTCAAGGGTGGTGTACAACATACAGAATAAATCAGTCTCCCCCACCCCACCCCCTGAGCTGTCTGGGGACTTGGCTCATTTCACAATGTGTCTATTTGCCCTCGAGGCCGTGATGGCTCCTGTCACCCCCCCAGACCGGTTTGCCATGGTGCGAGTGCATGCTCGGGGGTGGGGGGAGAGGGCACACTAACCTCAGTGGGGTCCAGATCAAATTCGCTCCAATTACAATGAGCAGCAAATTCCAGCCCCTGGTGCTGCAGGTTCAGTGTGGTACGTGAAGCTCGTCGGTGACTGTTACAACAGGTAGGAACAGAAGGGGATTTCCTGCCTTTTCACTCGGCGCCGCCTTTAGAAACCAAGGCAGGTATTTGCTGAGCTCACTGGTGCTCTGCAGCTGTGGGTCTCAAACGTTTGTACTGGGTAACCCTATCACACAGCGAGTGTCTGAGTGCCACCCCCCCTTATCAATTCAAAACACTTTTAAATCTATTTAACACCATTATAAATCCTGGATCAAAGCGGGGTTTGGGTGGAGGCTGGCAGGTTAGTTTTACCCTACTGATGATGTGTTGTTGCAATAGTAATCCTGCTCCGTATGAGAGGAACCGCAGGTTCAGACATTTGGTGTATGTGCTTGGCTGAGGAGCCAATGGGGCGAAGCGACCATCTGTGGGATTATGACTGAACGCCTCTAAGTCAGAATCCCCCCTAAACGTAACGATACGGCAGCGCCGTGGAGCCTCGGTTGGCCCTGGATAGCCGGCCCCCCCCTCCGGGGGGTAGGGCTCGGTGAGGAGAGCCTTTCGTGTCGGGACCGGAGTGCGGACAGAAGGGAGCCGCCTCTCACCGGTTGCGCACCGCATGTTCGTGGGGAACCTGGTGCTAAATCATTCGTAGACGACCTGCTTCTGGGTCAGGGTTTCGTGCGGAGCAGAGCAGCTACCTCGCTGCGATCTATTGAAAGTCAGCCTTTGACACAAGACTGGGGAGGAATAGCTCAGTGATTGGAGCCTTGGCCTCCTAAACCCAGGGTTATGAGTTCAACCCTTGAGGGGGCCATTTAGGGATCTGGGATTTAAAAAAAAAAAAAGAAGTTGGGGATTCATCTTGCTTTGAGCAGGGGGTTGGACTAGATGACCCCCTGAGGTCCCTTCCAACCCTGATATTCTATGACCCCCCCACATAATAACCTCATGACTCCAAGGGGTCCCAACCCCCAGTTTGAGCACCCCTGCTCTACGGTCACTTTTCCCCATGTATATTACCTTTGCACAAAATTAAACCCATGTTCTTTATTTACTCCAGGGTGTGTCAGGGTGTGTGTGTGTGTGTGTGCGTGTCCACCAAACCTGCTTCTTGCCAGCAGGGACGGAAGAAAGAAATAGAATCACAGGACTGGGAGGGACCTCGAGAGGTCACCTAGTCCAGTCCCCGGCACTCACGGCAGGACTAAGTATTATCTAGACCATCCCTGACAGGTGTTTGTCCAATTTGCTCTTAAAACCCTCCAATGGCGGCAAAAGGGGGGTTGGTTTTACTTGGAGGGATTCAGATACTACAGCGATGGGGGGAGAAGAGACAAGCCCCTAGACGCTGGACAGCTCAGACTCTGGCCCCTAGACCGCCCGGGAGAGGTAAGTGCAGTAACATCAGTCGTACCATCACTGTCACGCCAATGGACCTGTACTTTATGCAGGACACTGAATGCGACTTTAGATCATTCTCTGCTTCTGTGGATGAACAAGTCGTCGTGCTGTAGGTTAGGCACCAAAGTCTCTGCTATCCCGTGTTGCAGAGGCTGTAGTATTAGTGGGCAGAATTTAACTTCTCATAGATTATTTCCCGGAGCCCCCCACGCCCTCCCCCACCATGCTATAAAAACTCCAGGGCCCAGTGGGCTGGAGGGGAGGCTCAGGGCTCCAGCCGTTGGGCTGGCGGGGTGAGCTCGGGGCTTCTGCCCTGTGGCGGGGTGATGGGCTCTGGGATTTGGCTGCACCAGGGGTGTGGGAAAGGGGCGCGCCGGGGCTCAGGGCTTCAGTCCCATATGGCGGGCGGGGGCTCCACGCCGCAGGGTGGCGCTGGGGCTTGGAAATATTTCCCGGAGCTCTGCTCTGGCCAGATTTAAGCCCTGTTAGTGTGTCCTGGCTAGACTGGGGGAGCGTGTCTGATACTCGGCACGCTCGGTTTGCCAGCTAGAGCTGACACCTGCAGTAACAGCCCTGGGTCCCTGTGGGGAAGCAGACGGTGCAGATTCTCCTGGTGCACCCAGTTCTGAATCTCCCCTGCGGATGTGCGAGCCGAACGAGAGAAGAGCTGGGTAGACATTCCCCCCGGCTGAACGGAAAGCCCCTGGTTTGGTCACTGCAGCACGTGCTGATGCTCCACTGAAATACACGCCAGTGTTTCCAGGAGCAGTTCAAGAAGGAGAAATGATGGTTCTGTTAAAACTCTTTCCCACTACGGCTTCCTGCCAACGTACGTTCAGTGTCCTCTGCCACCCTGCGGAGACGGGGTGCAGGGGGAGTGGCTGACAGAGGAGATAACAGGGTATCTTGGTTATTCCTTTACTCCTCTTCTTTTGAAACCGTTCTACACACCGGACACTGTCCCCCCCCATTTCTCACGTGTTCAGGGGTTACTGTACAATTGAGTGCAGTCTTTGTGCTTTGTTGATTCCTGCGATGATCCCATTGGAGATTTACATATAAACATTGATAGCAGCTTTTCACACATTCATTGCAGGCCTGTCTTTGCTCTCCTGGTTCAGATCTGCAGAGCAGACTGAAGCAGGACCTAGTAGTGAAGCTTCTATTCCTCCCCGTAGATTCCCGTGAATGGCTATGTGGACTGTCTTGTGACCGTTAAAATGTCCCGTTGTGATGGACGTTCTTACACCCAGGATACAAAGGGACGTGTTTCCCGGGGGACTCTGTAACTGTGCTGGCAAATATTGGGAGCACATAGTGTTTGTGTGCACCCCAAACATGCTTTGTGCATGCGGTGGCTCATCTTGCATAGGCTGATGCACTTTTCGGGGCACAGACAGATGCATTCAACTTCTGCAGGTGCAACTAAGGCAACTGGCTGCAAATTTGGGCCAAAGCATGTTCTTTGTGAGAGGCCACTAATGAACCTTCGAGAGGAGACGAACCTTTCCTCTAGGGTCCCAGCGCTAGGCTGGTCCCTGGGTGCTCTAACGTTTCTCTGCAGACCTCAGCCTGATAAATAGACGTGGATTCTGCTCCGTGCGTATTTGCTGGTGGGAACAGGAGCTGGATGGTTAGACTGGACCTGCTGCTACGTACTGGGTCCGGGCACGTGGCCCCGCTGTGAAGCTTTTCTCACGTTCAGTCCCGTCTGGATTCTGAGTGGTTATTTTACAAGAAGCTGCTTCTTTGCACCTTCCTTGCTCAGCTCCGTTGGGCAGGCGTCTAGCGTTGCTCGTCTTTCACAGCTGGTAAACGTATATGGTCTCCTCCTTCAGCGCATCCCCAAGCGAGATAGGACTTCCAACCGAGACCGAAATCTGGCTCCCCATGGAGATGGCCCCCACGTTGAGTCTGCGCATGTGCGGCTTTACCGCGGCGTGCACTCTCTGGTGCCTCATGAGGTGCGTTTTCTTGCTGAAGCGCTTCCCACAGAGGTCGCAGGGGAAGGGCCTCTCCCCGGTGTGGATCCTGTAGTGCGTGATGAGGTGCGTCCTCTGGTTGAAGCTCTTGCCGCACGCGGTGCACGCGTAGGGCCTCTCTCCTGTGTGGATCCTCAGGTGTCGCTTCAGGTCCTGCTTGTGGCTGAATCTCTTCTCGCACTCCGTGCAGGCGTAGGGCCGGCTGCCCAGGTGGGTCTTCTGGTGGGTGATGAGGATGGACTTCTGGCTGAAGGCCTTGCCGCACTGGGCGCAGGGGAAGGGCCGCTCTCCGGTGTGGATGCGCTGGTGGGTGTTCAGGTGGGTTTTCTGGCTGAAGCTCTTCCCGCACTCGGTGCAGACGAACGGCTTCTTCCCCGCGTGGATCTTCTGGTGGGTGATGAGGTTCTTCTTCCAGGTGAAGCTCTTCTCGCACTCGGCGCAGGCGTAGAGGATCACGTCCCCGGAGTGGATCAGCTGGTGGGTGAGGAGGTTCTTCTTGCAGCTGAAGCCTTTGTCGCACTGGGTGCAGCTGAAGGGCCGCTCCCCTGTGTGGATTTGCTGGTGCCTCATCAGGTGGGTTTTCTTGCTGAACCCTTTCCCGCATTCGCTGCACAGGAACGGCCTCTCACCCGTGTGGATCCGGAAGTGGGTCACCAGGTGAGTCTTCTGGCTGAAGCTCTTCCCGCATTCACTGCAGGTGAAGGGTCTCTCTCCGGTGTGGATCCGGTGGTGCCTTATGAGGTCCTGCTTGTGGCCGAAGCTCCTCTGGCAAACGGCACAGGTGTAGGCTCGCCTTTCGAGGTGCGTCTTCTGATGCATGCTGAGCACGGATTTCTGGCAGAAGCTCCTGTCGCAGTGAGGGCAGTTGTACAGTCTCTTCTCCTCATGGGTCTTCTGGTGCGTGATGAGGTATTTCTTCCAGCTGAAGCTCTTCCCACACTTAGCGCAGCTGAAAGGCCGCTCCCCCGTGTGGATACGTTGGTGGGTGATGAGATTCTTCTTCCAGCCGAAGTTCTTCCCACACTCGGTGCACGTGAACGGCCGTTCCCCTGTGTGGATCTGCTGGTGCCTGGCGAGATCTTGCTTGTGGCTGAAGTTCCTCTGGCAGACAGAGCAGGGAAACGGCCGGGTTCCCGAGTGAGTCCTCTGGTGCCGCATCAGGTGGGTTTTCTTCCTGAAGTTTTTCCCGCACTCGGTACATGGAAACGGCCTCTCGCCCGTGTGGATTCGGAAGTGCGTTATAAGGTGCGTTTTCTGGACGAAGCTTCTCCCGCATTCAGTGCACTGATAGGGTCTCTCTCCCGTGTGGATACGGTAATGCCGTATCAGGTCTTGTTTGTGATTGAAGCCCTTCTTGCATTCCATGCAGATGTACGGCCTCACTCCTATGTGGGTTTTCTCATGAGTCATGAGAAGGGACATGGGCCCAAAGCCGCTGCCACAACCAGTCCAGTTAAATGGAGCCTCCAGTGGGAGCTTTCCCTGGTGTGGTTCCAGGCCAACCTGATCCGCAAAGTTGTCTTCGTATTCCATGCACACGTATGGCATTTCTCTCTTCAGGTGTTCTTGGAAAAGTGCAAAATTCTCTATGTTGCCAAAGCCGGATTGTTCAGCCTCAGCCCCTAGAGAGCTCCTCGGCTGCCTTTGTGATTTGCACGGGATCCTGCAGACATTCCCCCAGTCTGAATTCACGGTCACATTCTCTGGGCTTGTTTCTGATGATCGGTCCGATACCTCCAGTTTTATAGCGGAGGTCTCATGGGTCGCTTCAATGGGGCTCACCGGCTGCCTTCCTGATTTGCAAGGGATCCTGAAGATGTTGTCCCAATCTGAAGACTCAAGAACAGTGTCTTTGGACTGTTCAGGTGATAGTTCAGGTGAGTCTAGTTTCACAGTAAGTTTCTCATTCTCTGCTCCGGTGGGGTTCATCTGCTGCCTTTCTGGTTTGCACTGGATCCTGTAGATGTCTGAAGACGTGGAAAGATCTTCTTCAGACTTTTCTGATGGGGACTCACTTGGCTCTAATTTTATAGTTACCTTCTCATGCTTGGCTCCTGCATGGTACATCTGTTGCCTTTGTGGTTTGCGCTGGATCTTGTAGGTGTTTCTCCAGTCTGGAGACATGGAGAGATTCTCTTCTGATCTCTCTGGTAAGGGGTCAGGTGGTTCTGATTTTATAGTAAAGTTCTCATCATCTACAACACAGAGACGAGAGTTCAGAATATTATTGCAAAGGAAGGTAAAACTTCTAATATCAACTCTTTCTGATTTCCAGTGTAACCCCATGAAGGTGTGTCTCACAGCAGCACTGGTTATAGGCCCCTTGTACCACCTCCATGTCTACAGTGACAAGGTTTAAAAGATTTGGAACTTTTGTAGGAAGTCATCATGCCAACAGGATGTTGCCTCTATGTTAGGATCTCAAAGCATTTTACAGGCATTATCTAGTCCCCCAAACCCATGCTGTGAGATAGGTAGGTAAGCAGTACTGGTATCATACCCCTTTTACAGAGTGGCTCACTGAGGCACAGTGAGATCAAGAAGTCACACAATAGGTTAGTGACAGAAAGCTGGGAACACAACTCAGGAGACCTTACTCCCACTATACATGCTGCTTCCATTCTTTCCATGATTGATTAGAATTTGCTGGTTACAGATCACATGATCACATGATCGTCTTTACTATTTTAATACTAGGTGGCATGTATGAAATATAGATTTAAAAAAAATGCTGTCAGATCACATCAGTTTGCAATGAGCCGTAGGGTCATACCACTGTTTTCTTATGAAGATTAAGATGACTGTCACATACAGCAGAACCTCGGCGTTACGCACCCCTCGGGAATGCAGGCTGTTCGTGACTCTGAACAGAACACTAGGGTTGTTCGTTCAAAAGTTTACAACTGAACATTGACTGAATGCAGCTTTGAAACTTTACTGTGCAGAAGAAAAATGCTGCTTTTAACCATCTTAATTTAAACAAAACAAGCACAGAAACAGTTTCCTTGCCTTGTCAAATCTTTTCTTTTCAACGTTCCCTTTATTTTTTTAGTAGTTTACGTTTAACACAGGACTGTACTATCTTTGGTGGGGGGGGTTTTATGTCTCTGCTGCTGCCTGATTGTGTACTTCTGGTTCCAAATGCGGGGTGGGGTTGACTGGTCAGTTCGTAACTCTGGTGTTCGTAATTCTGAGATTCTGCTGTATTGGAAAAATTATCCTAAATTCCAAAAATTTTCACAGAAAAGATTGAGTAGGAAAATCCGTATCAGAACGTGTGATCTTAATCATATGCTATTCTTGATTTCTTATTTGCAATTCTCCCAGTCAGGAAGCACACACAATATCGTGTCTTAATTTGCCCAACCCCACAGCACTATAAGAAGCACTAATAATGAATAGAAATCATCAAAACAGACAGTTGGCAAACAGCCAACTGCCTGAAAATGACAGGCCCCCACTGCCCAGAGGATAACGAACCATTTGAAGAAACGGAGGATGGATTTGAGAGCGAGATTAACCAACGAGGTGCTAATTTTGTAGCAAAAAATTCAACAAGCTCTAGGTGAACAAAATCTTTGAATGGCATTTGAGAGCTCAGCCCACCAAGATGTGACGACTAAGAGGTAAAAACTTGACGCTCGGAAGAGACACCCTGTAACCTGAAGCGCTTGTGGAATGTTGGCTTCATTCCTTCTCTGCCCTGTCTGCATCCGCCAAGAAAGAACCGGTGGAGTAGTCCTCAAAGCTTCGTGTTTAAATGCAGCTCCACCCTAGGAAGCTGTGAGCCCATTTCCGCTGGCTAGGGCCGGCTGGGCCTACACCTGAGCGTTTCTGGAGCAGGTCTGATCCCTCACCTGTGAAGCAGCTTTGCGGAGTCACCTTTTCCTCTGCGTCGCTCCATTCCCTGGGATGGGGTGGCTCCTCCCCTCGCTCGGTCCGTGGCGGGAGGTCACGTTTCATAACAGAATGACCTGCTGAGAGCGCAAGGCAGACCCAGTTAGTTTCCTTTTGCATCTCCCAGGCTTCAGAGTCTTCTGTGGCCCCTTGACAAGGTCCCCTCCTCCTAGTGAATGTGCCCCCTGGCAAGGTGAAAACTCCCCTCCCAGGGAGGGTCCTCCTTCTGCAAGCCCCACTCTTCCTACTCCCTCCCAAGGGTGGGTTTCCCTGCCCCACTGCCCCTCAGGAGGGTCCCCCGCTTTGGGTGTGTGTCCCCCCATCCCACTGAGGGAGCATCTCTCCACTCGGCCCAGTCCTTCTCATCCCCCAGGGGCGTCCCTCCAGCTGGGGCTGCCCTCCTGGGACACAGAGACCGGGCCTGGCGTGCCTCTCCACCCCGCCCAGCTCTCCCACCACAGAGAGCCGGCTTAGCGGGCTGCCCCCCCGGCCCCGGATTGGACACAGAGATACAGCCCTCTACGTAGCATAGGGGTGTCCATCGCGCTGTCCTGCATCCTTCAGGGCCGATACCCTAGACAGCCAGTGCCATGGCAACCACTTGGGAGACAGTGCCCTAAATCGGAGGGAAACCAGGAGTCTGGGTGGGTGCTGTCTGCAGCTCCTAGGCCTCCCCACCCCTCTCACCCGGAAAAGAAGCGGGTGAGATGGTGCCATCCCCTTCCAGGCCTCACGTGGCAATGGGACTCAACGGGGAGGGGGTTCTCACCTGGACTGCCACAGCCTGGGACCTACTCGCCATCAGCCAAGCCTGGCTGGCAACGTGATCCATGGCGTGGGAATACAGTGGCCCCACATAGGGGGACTGGCCGGTGATGGGCAACATGCCTGCCAGGTCACTGGTGTGGACGTGGCCTGGGACAGTGGTGCACAGACGCCGCTGTGTGGGTGGGCTGGAGCGTCCCTTTCCGGTACCTAGTGGCGCCCCTATTATAAAATCCACCATCACAGCGAATGCTTGTCAGCAACCCCTACCCATCTCATGAGAGAGGCCAAGGAATGAGTGGGCGCTGGAGACGTGACTCCCCTCTCCCCCTTAGGGCCTAGACTGAGAAAAAAGGGGGTGTATTTAAATTGTGCTGGTCCCTCTAGGGCTAGCCGCAGCCAGGTGACCTGGGTTTTACAGTGAGAAACTGAGTCTTTGCTAGGTCCTAAGTGGGGTGTCTAAGGGGCTCACCTAACAATGACCCGCTCTAAACTGGTGCAGACGGGTAGGGGTGGTGGTGGGGATCTGGCAATGCTGCAGTCCAGGCTGTACCTGCTCTGAGAATAAACAGGGGCTTTTAATCCCTCGTATTGTCTCCCTCACGGTACATTGCCCTGTAGGACCCCACATCACCACCCACCCCTCTGCCCCTCTGTTACTTTGAATGTTCTACTTCTGGGTTCCACTGAGACTTGTCCCAGTCGCAGTGTGTGTGAATAAGGGACAGTCACCCCTGATGCCAGTGATTATAACCCCCCTGGTGTGACAGGGCGCTGGGCAAAGGGCCGGCTGGGCCTACACCCTCTGTCACGCCAGCTCCCATTTAGGGGAATACATGAGAGCTGGCTGGAGATAACCTGGCCCTATCTGGGGAAGCAGAGACAGCTGCCGCCCAATTACCCTGGGGCTGTATAAAAGCCTCAGGGGAAGGAAGAGAAAAGACAGGGAACGGAAGCAGCGAGGTGGCGATTCCCTCCTGCCCGCAGATGGTGACGGGCCAACTGTACATGGTGAAACGGAGGCGGGAACAAGCCTGCAAATAAACGGCACCAGCGGTTACTAACCCCAGGGTCGCCGAGTGACTTTGTGGACCCAGCAGAGGCAGGAGCCAAGGGGCCCGGCCGCACTCTGCTACACCTGGCGCCAGTGGAGCTGTGGCTGCCTAGCCAGCTCCGAACGTAAGCACTCTGTGTGTGTAAGGGTTTCCTCTTGCAAACAACTTACTCCAGGGAGTAGCGCTTACTGCCATGAGTCATTCCACTGCTTTCCAGGGAGTACGCACCACGCCTGGTCCGAAATGTCTGACAGCTCAGGACCCTGGATTTTAAATGTGGAAAAATAACACGCAGGAAGCCCCCAGCACTCGGGCTGGGAGGGGGAGTGCAGCCTACTGCTCTCCTCTTCCTCCCTTTCCCGGACTGCTGGGGAATCCTTGCGCACTGTCCCCGCGGCTGTCCTGCCCTGGCCCACACTCCTGACCGGCCCCAGCACCATGTATTTGAAACCCTCCGGAGGCTGCAGGAGCTAGAGGCTGTGGGAAGGGGGGAGGAAGCCCACGGTGCCCTGGTCTACTCCTGCACTGCGCTGCCGTGGGCTTCTCTGGAGACGTAGCCAGCCAGGTCCTGCCCCGACCTTGGGTGAGCCCCCTGCTCTGCTCGGTGAGTTACTTTTGCCCCAGCTGGGCGGGAGTTTTGGGGCGGGCTGTTATGTGAGTCCTGTGGAGAAGGGGTGCAGCAACAAAGCGAGAGTACCTCCGCTCTACAGCAATGCAGAGGAATATTTAAGAGAATATTTGTTCAGGTGGACGGTGGTGAGTTTGTTGGCTGCCCCAGGAGAACGAGCACTGGAATAAATGCATGAATGAATGAATGAATGACTAGGCATTTCTACTGCACGCATCACCTAGAGCGATGATGATTTGCAGAAAAAAAGTTGCAAAACAAACCAACTAGGAGGGCATTTTTCATAAAAATGTATTGAGGAGGGATAAGCCACAAGTCAGCAGTTAAGAACATAAGAGCGGCCACACTGGGTCAGACCAACGGTCCCTCTAGTCCAGTATCCTGTCTTCTGACAATGGCTCCCCAGAACTTCAGGGAACTGTAAAGAAGAGGGCAGCTGGAGTAATCCACCCATCTTCTGGCAAACAGAGGCTAGGGACACTTCAGAGCATGGTTTTGCATCCGTGCCCATCCTGGCTAACAGCCATTGATGGACCATGACAAAGCCCTGGCTGGGATGATTTAGTTGGGGATTGGTCCTGTTTTGAGCAGGGGGTTGGACTAGATACCTCCTGAGTCCCTTCCAACCCTGATATTCTATGATTCTATGACCTATCCTCCATGAACTTATCTAGTTCTTTTTTTAACCCAGTTATACTTTTGGCCTTCACAACATCCCCTGGCAATGAGTTCCACAGGTTAATTGTGCATTATGTGAAAAAGTACTTCTTGGTTGTATTAAACCTGCTGCCTATTAATTTTATTGGGTGATCCCTGGTTTTTGTAGTGTGGGAAAGGGCAAATAACACTTTTTTCCATACCAGTCATGATTTTATAGACCTCTATCATATCCCCATGAGTCGTCTCTTTTCTAAGATGACAGCCCTAACCTTTTTAGTCTCTCCTCATATGGAAGCTGTTCCATACCCTTGATCATCTTTGGTGCCCTTCTCTGAACCTTTTCCAGTTCCCCTGTATCCTTTCTGAGATGGGGCGACCAGAATTGGTCACAGTATAGCAGGTGTGGGCGCACCAGGGACTTACATAATGGTATGTGAAATGTTCTGCCTTATTTTCTATTCCTTTCTGAATAGTCCCTAACAATTCATAGATTCATAGATTCTAGGACTGGAAGGGACCTCGAGAGATCATCGAGCCCAGCCCCCTGCCCGCATGGCAAGACCAATTACTGTCTAGACCATCCCTGA